CGTGGCTTCTGATTGGCTACGCTACTAGTAGGCTATTAGTGATAGCCTACTAATAGAAAATTCAAAATGGCGGAAAATTCGCGTTTTGCACTTTTGCTGAAGTGTCTGATGATTTTTTGGACGACTTGTTGAACAATTCTGTACTAAAACACCCAAAAAAGCAACAAAAATAAGGAATGGCAATTTTTAAGGGACTGGTCATAAAGTAACTGCTAGGGTGGGCTGGAGGTAAATCACAAATTTTTCCAATAAGTTTGGTGACCCATCTTAAGATGTAGATAAAAATTTCAAAGCCCATCTATTCTTACCAAATTTATTTCATGACTCACCCACCCACCCAATCTAAATTGGGAAAATACACTTTTATAATAAACCAAGTTGACCAACATAATTGCACCAAGTTGACCAACAAATTCATCACCAATTACGATACTGAGCTGTTCTCCATTTGGTTGTATTTGCTGTGATTCGACCACTTCTTGTTGTTGTATAAAACAAAGTACTGGCTTCAATAACATCATTTGTATTTAATAATTTGGATAGTTTTATTTATTTCTATTATTAATTTAATATCTGTCCATGTTAGGTTTTTGTTTGGTGGCCCAACCGTGGACATACAAAGAAATTGGCGGCCCATCGAAACTGCCCAAAGATTTTCCATGGCCCATCCAAAATCACTCCAGCCCACCCTAGCATTTACTTTATGACCGGTCCCTAAGGGTAAGAAAATAGACAAAATAACATACACTCAATAAAATTTTAAAATTAAAACTGAATTTTGTAAAACATTTTACGCGAACAAAAACTAAAATATTTGTTTACCTTTAATGGTTTTATAATGTTTTTTGTGTATTTTTGTATTGTGTTTGCAGCCTAGTTGTAAATTAATGTTAAAGTTTATACTAAAACAATTAGACAACTCAGCCTCGTTGTCTAATTGTTAATTAGCCTGCATGGCAGGCGGTATTTCCCAGGCTTGCCCAATTTTAGGAACCGCCTGCCATGCAGGCTAAACAATAATAGGATGTTTCTGAAGGACTCGTTCAACACCCTGT